TGGAGAAGGACAAGCTGCCATCCAGCACTATCTGCTCTGGCACAGGGAGCATTATCTTGCTCTGCAACCTGTTCTGCATTTCATAGAGCAGATAAATGAGAGAAGGTGGCTGACTCTCTGCTATTTACATGTGTACCAGCTTTGTTTCCGCACACATGCTCTGTCTTGAGGGCCAGCCACGGAGGGGCTGCAGGTGCCAGCAGAAGCATAGGATCTTGCACTTCAGGAGAAGAGAAAAGGGGGGAAAAAGTCCATAGTCTGAATGTGTGGAAGGGATCATGGTTTTCCAGATGCATGGAGCATTGTTCAGAGTGCCACCTGCACTGCCAGGCTGGTACCTCAGGATCGTGCGGCTTCCCCGAGCTTGTATGGTACACAGAACATTTGGTGGAGTCTGCAGTTTATGGATGCAGGAGGCTTAGGAACCAGAGAATGGTAGATGTGTGCCTGAAGGGATTCTTTGAGATAAAAAGAGGGAAAGGTATCTGCTTCATCAGAGTAACTATCAATTTTTATGACTTAGTGGATGGAATTCCCAAATGTGCCAAACCCCACTGGCTGCCTGCAGCCCCAGGACGGTGCTCTGGGCACTGGCTGGGTATCCCCATGTCATCTCCCATTTTCAGAGGTGCTCTGCAGAATGCAGGCTGGGGGTCTGGCAGCAGCCTGGGGCAGGGGAGGGCGAGCAGTTCTCCACTCCTTTGGAGGTAGGGATGGGCTGCGCAGTCACTTAAACAATTGGGTTCAATTCTACTCTGTTCTCTGTAATCATTAACAGTGGTTTCTAATCACAGTGACATCTGCTGATGGATGATAATTGTCCCCCAGAATTGAAATGGATACCGACTGATATCTTCAGTTCAATCCTTATTAAAACATCAGTGAGCGCTGGTTTTAATACACATTTTCAGACATGAAAATTGTAGCTATATGCATTACAGTCAAGCCCTAATGTGCTCAACTTGGGACAAAATATCGTGGAAAACGCATTTCAAGCTATTGCCTGGACTCTCACCTAATACATCTTACCTGTAATAATTGCTTTCCCTTAATAGATTGGGTCATACTAATATCACTGCTGAATTTTAGGAGAGAGAAATGGAAATAGAGAACAGGCATTTTTCCACGCTTGTACTCTGGCGTGCATCAAATCCTGCTTTTATAACTTACTAATGATAAATTGATCTCGGGAGGTACTACCTCTGTATTTACAGAGTGTTCAGACGCGCCAGAGGCTGTTTTCAACATACCAGCATCTCGGTGCTGATTTAAGCACACAGCTGTTCCTATAGCACAGCATTCAGATCTGGTGCACCCCCAGCGTGCAGTGATGTGAGCAGAGCAGCACAGCAGCAGGCAGCCCATTGCCCCTGGGGGTTGAGGCCCGGCTCCAGGTCCCCAGGCAGTGGGGGTCTCCCAGTGCTGTTCCCCAGGTGTGGTGCAAGGGCAGGGCATGGGGCTCGATCCTGACTGCGTCCAGCCGCGTGGCAGCAATGGCAGCAGCTCTGTGTGGTGTGGAGCTGCTTCTGTCCTTCGCTGTGTGTTTGCAGCTCTGTTCTGCCCTTGCATTGTGTTTTCGAGGCACGAGCTGTAATGGGAGATAATGTTCAGTGGTCTTTGAACCAAAGGACTGTGTAGTAATGATGGCAAATTGGTGTCTGGCACAGTGAATTGCATGGTGTGGAGATGTGTCTGAATCACTGCTTGGGGGGGCAGCTCCACACAGCTCCTGGTGTCTTGAGCCCTAGCCCAGGGTGACAGCCCTGAGCCTTCATTGCAGCACGAGGGCAAGGCTCTGCCCTCTCCACAAAGCAGCAGAGGCTGTCATGGCACTTGTGAACCAGCCCTGAATTCCCCCTGAAGTTTTAGTGTGATCTTCATTGGGAAAGAAAAGTCATTTAACTCTTCCTGCTCTATTGACTACTTTAAAACAATCTTTTTGTTGTTAAGCACAGTGAAAACTTTGATTAACAGTGAAAGAGTGGTCAGCACCGGCACAGCTGCCCGGGGAGCAGGGCAGTCACTGCCCATAGGAGTGCTCCATACCATGGAGATGTGCTGCTGGGGTTCAGGGTCATTGGGCCTGGTGAGGGGCTGAGGCTGAGCCTGGGGATGTGAGAGGTCTTCTCCAACCAGAATGAATCAGTGACAAAGTCCTTCTGCAAAGGGGCTGCTTTCTGCAGGCCGGAGTGGGATGAATTATATAAGGTTTCACCAGCACATCTTCATTCCAGATCAGCCTCAATCCCACTGTGCTCCCATGGTCTGCATGACACAGTCTGAATATTGTAGGCCAACATCTAATTTTTGCAGGGGGATTTATATGGCCTTCCACTTCTTGTTCTGACAGTGAAACCCCCGGATCCCACCCCCAGCCATTTCCTCACAGTGGTGGTTTATGTACATGCGCTTCCTCACATTTATTTTTGATCACCGTTCCTCCTGGCGGAGCTGTGAGCATGCTTGGAGCAGTTGATGTGTTTGAATACCTCCTGGGTTTGGGCTGCATGCTTTCAGCAGCCAGAAGAGATCAGGGCCGTGTGAGACCCACAGTGAGTGGTTTGCTGCTCCTACACCTCACAGCAACCATCCAGCTGCCTGGGGAAATGGGAACTGAGGCCAACAGAAGGGCTGGAAATGACTCCAATTGGTATCTCGTCAACGATCTGGGAAATATCACAAAGAATAGAACAGGGGCTCAAGAAGGATTTTCCTAGACACGCTGTTATAGAAGCCTTTACCACCCCCTGCAGAGGTAATCAAGACTAATGGGAACATTAGTGCAGCAGAAGGCTGCATATCAAAGAGCCCCCGGAGCAATCACACCCAGCAACAGAGCATCGCTGGCGCCGCTCCGAGCCACCCTCCTGTCGCAGAAATGAGTAAAAGGGTCATAAACAGCAGAGACAAAATTTTTGCCTTGTGACTGCAAATAAGCACCCAACAGAGCTGTTAAAACTTACTTGCTGAAGAGAAAAATACGATTCTTCCCATTTTATGGGCCATGTTCAGATAGCTCTTACTCCTATGCCATAAATCCCATTCTCACATAGATCCCACAGCAGAGCTGTCCCAGACCCTGTGGAGTGTCGCCTGGATTGCCACACATCCAGCATGCTGTGCAGCCAAGCTGAGCCCGGAATGCCACCCACATGTGAAGAAACACTGCAGGGGCCCCTACAGCACCGCTGGGAAAGCACAGTTCTTATGTCAAGGCCTGCTTGGATCCCTCTGTAGTTTTTAAATCTGAATTTAATGAAGAGCAACACCAACAATTCCTGCAACCTCGTGATGGAGGTTAAGCTAAAACCACATCTCCAGAGGTGGCCTCGGGAGCAACTGCTGCCTCCAGAGCAACACGGAGCTGCAGGCGGAGCAAAGCCCTGGGCACAGGTACTGGAGCATCAACTGGGATGTCCCTAAATGTCAGCAACAGATCCTGCATCCGAGTGGTCTTCAGTGTGTGGTGGGGTGTGCTGTGCTGCATGGTGTGTTGTGTTCCTTGCTTGATGCTGGATGGAAAGAAGCACCCATTGCTGATTGGTGATCTGAATAGCTGAGCAGGCGGTTCTGGGGGTCGTTCCCTACCATGTTTAGAACAAAGGAAGGGATAAATCTGCAGCCCACCAGGTTTTTTTGTGCCCTTTGGCAGTTTGGGAACCCTTAGAAAGATCTGTGCTGCTTGCACTGTGGTCAGCATGCTCCTGTCCCTGTGTTCAGCTCAGACCATGCTGGGCTGTTACCAGTGCTCAGGGTGTTGTTGCTTCTGCTCTGCACGTTGCATCCCTGCTGGCGGTGGTAACTCTGCAATCTGTTCTCACTGTGATTGCTGATCCTCTGCCGTGTTTGTTGGGTGCAAAGCCACTAGTGAGTGTGGTCTGTACGGCTGCAGCATTTACAGGGCTTTAACGAAGGGCTTAAAGACAACTTGACTTTCTAGCTGCATCTACTGAAGTGAAGAGCGAGATCCCAGGCATGATAAAATCAGTGGGGATGGGGCGTTCCTTCGCCGTGCTGTGCCCCATATTACCCAGGGGTGCTGAGCCCATGCCCTGGTGTTCCCCAGCTGCTGCACCCACCGGGAGCTGTGGGGGGGCTCTGGGCAAGGCGTCCTGCTGGAGCAGCGCAGTGTGGGTGCAGCGGTGCTGGCTGTGCCCACAGCTCAGCGCTGAGTGCGTTTCGTTCCCATGAGCCTGAAAGCTTTGCGCTTGAATCTCATGTGAAAACGGGTGGCTAAAAATAAACGTGGCACGGTTCCTGGAAGCGGCGCTGGGTGTGGGTGGCAGAGATGGGGGATGTTTCTGAGATGTCACCTTTTTTCTCACTCAGAAAAATTCAAATTCAAATAAATTTACCGAAATTCAGCACTACGTGTTTGATTTTGCAGCAAGATCATCTCACTTCGGTGTTGGCGCATTGAGAGTGTGGGAATTGAAGGTTGTTTCTGCATCAGAACAAAATAAGCATTTTGTTAATTTCATGGCATCTGCTACCTTTATTAGAGCTAACAGTTCTTTTCAGGGGCCTTTCCACTTTATTGGGGTTCTCTGATTAGTTTTCATTGCTAATCCCATAGATAAATCTTTCCCAACAACACATACTCAGTACATAAGTAATATGTATGTGTGTATATATATATATATATATATATCCATAGAGATTAGGTAAGGTAAGTGAAGTAAATTATAAGCACAAAGACTGAAGCTCCTGTCTGTCCAGCCATCTGAAAAACTTCTGGGCCTTCAGTTAAAGGGAAGCCAGATGTAATAAATATCTTTACAAATCAGAAGCCCCTTGATGTTGGAAAACTACTAGCTTTTGGTGCTGGATAGACAGGACCTGAGTAATAGAGAATTAAAGGGGGAGAAGTTAAATAATTAAAAGCATATATATATAAGCTAGTAGCAACTTATGTATAGCCAGTGCTGAAAATGTATGTATGTCACACACTGCAAGAGTATCCTGGGCAAATTAAAAGGATAATTTGTTGCATGCCTCAGGGAGTGCCTGAAGAAGGTATTGAGGAAGATCGGGCAGCTCCCTTCTCTACTCCTTGTTTAACAAGGACTCTGAAGAAAGTCACCATATCAACAAGAAGAGTGTTGAGACATCTTGGGGACGACATCAGATAAAACAAATTAACAAGTAATTAACAAATGTAAACTTTCTGATAAGGTTGTGAACCTGGAGTACCCAGCCAGTGTGGAAACAGGGGAGGCAAGGGGGGAAAACAGGGTATGAAGACTGTCATGTTATGTCCATAGGTGCTCCTGCTTGCTTGCCCGCCATTGCAATCATGATTAAAATCTGCTTTTATCAGAAATACCGTCCTGACAAAAATTATTTGGGTATTTCCAACATGAGGCGTTTGGGTTTGTCCTTGGAATGCTTTAAACTCACAAATGAGCAACAGCTTCTAACGCATGAGGTCTCTTCACAACAGAAACCATTTATCCAAAGCATCTGAGGTGCGAGCAGCTCATCACTGCCCATCATTCACTGCCACAGCACAGCTCAAAATCTGGCTGACCAGCTCCAACGTGACGCCCAAACCCTGCGTGTTGTGCGGCCACACGTGGGGATGTGATCTGTGGGGCAACGTCCACGTGTGTCCCCTGGCCCTGCTGCACTGCAGCTCCCACATGGAGTTCTGTGAGAGCTCTCTCAGCACAGCACCGATCCATTCGTGATTTCCTCTGTCTCTGATGTGCAGGCGTTGCCTCCCCCGGGCTGCAGCCCATTTGCACACCAGTTGCATGCTGTGAACGGAGCTCTGCTTTGGGCTTGGACTGAAGGCTTACAGCTCTGATCAGATACTGAGCGTTGGTTGGTGCTCTGCCATGCACAGAGGGCTGCGTGGTGCCTGCAGGTGATGGGCAAAGCCAGAGCAGCAGAAGTTGTTTCCTTCTCCTTTCTGCTACCCTATGTGAGCAGCCTGTGATGTGAGCTGCAGAGCTGGGAGGATAACTTGGCACAGGGAATCTCCAAATACAATGCCTCACTCTAATAAAAAACTGATAAAAGAACAGTACAGACTGTTACTCATAATTAGCCCTATCTTGAACTGTGGAGGCCAACAACATCCAAAACAGCAATTTAACTTCAGAACAGCAAGCATCACAATAGGTGGCACAGCACAGACAGAGCTGCTCGCTGCCTGGTGCTGGGCTTGGAATCATTGCTCTGTCCCAGCCTGCAGAGATCTGCCTGCATTCCCCTCCTCCCACAGCTGGAAGTGCTGAGGAGCAGCAGCTCCAGGTATTTCCCTGCTGGGTTTGCAGCACTCACCCAGAAACCTGGATTTCAGCATTGCTGTAGCAGAGAAGGAACCGTGATCAAGGATCTTGCAGTGGAAGAGCTGTGATCTACTTTGAATTATTCTGCACCAAACGCAATCTTCAAAAACATCATTTTTGTCTCTACTTGAAAATTGCATTCTTTGCTTTTGAATTAAGCAGAAGAAACACGGAGCGGTGTTTGCATGATGAATGAGAGATTTCTTTACAACATACAAAATGAAAATTCATTACAAACATAATGCAACAACAAAGAAGCAAACGTTCAGACATGGGTAAATGGAAAGTACCTTCAGCAGAAGTTATGCACTTAGTGGGAAATGACACAGCAGCGGGGTGCCTGCATGACTGAGGTGGGAGGCAGCGCATCCCTTCAGAGCAGGGCTGTGGCTGGCAGCAGCACGCAGGAGGAGCAGATCTGGGCCATGTCTGCTGGCTGCAGGGCTGTGCTGCACTGATGGCCAGTGGTGCATCAGGGCTGCTGGGCCAGGCAGCCTGGCTGGGGAGCATCCTGTGCTGCAGGGCCTGGGATCATCAACCTGCACTTCTCCTCCTGCCCGCCCCACTGCTGCCTGGCAGATCTGAAGTGAGCTGCATAATTCAGCACAGAACGGCTCTCATGCAATTGCTCTGCTAGAAATGATCCCTCGGAGGTTTGAGGAGGTTGGTTTCTCTTTGCCCCTTTTAACCTTTTCTCTTCTTACAAATGAAAAGAATTGTTCCAATCAGTTTCTCTTTCTTATTCAGGTGAGCATTCCCATGCTGGGAGATGGAGCCATGAACCAGCGGTGGCTCCGGGGCAGTGAGCGCTGCGGGACACGGCCATGTGTGGTTGGAGGGCTCTGCACCCCACACAAGGAGGGCCCACAGCTCTGCAGCTCAGATCCCAGCTCGTTGGACTCCGAGGCGCTGATCCTCTGCTGACTGTCTCAGGAAAGCAACAGCCATAGGGGACATACGAGGCGCTGTGCTCAATTCAACAGCTATTTCAGTGTACTCCAGCTTTCCAAGCGCCAGAGAGGATCTCATGTAGGGCTATCTGACTGCCTGATAATGAATCTGGTGGAGAAAGCACTGCCATGTATCTCATGCATTTTTAGGGTAAAGGGACCATTATGTGAAGATGAACCATTCTGAAGCACCAACACAGCATGAAAAAGCATCAGCACATTCAGGAGTGCCTCTTGCTGCCAGCAGCAACCTGTTATATGGCTTCAGTTAGTTATTTTTGATATACCTGGGGACATTTTTGTGAGTACATTTTGTCAGTGTTAACCTGGGGCTGAGAGGTGGTTCAGGGTCACTGCAGGACATTTTGCATTCATCATGTTTGGTGCTCATCACTCCATTCCCTTCTGCATGGAGCTGCTTTGCAGGGGCCGATCCCTGCTCCTGCGGGTCTGACAGCAGCAGGACCTGCTCCTTTATGAGTGGCACCTAGGAACAGGATAAGGAAAAGATCCAACTAATTGTCTGCCATATCTTGCAGCCACATTAGGATGAGATCATTGTGTTGACACAGAGGAAGTGTATTCCATGGCCATGCATAGATCAGGGGAATATTCTGAGAGCTGTCACATCCCGATTCTGCTGTTCATTGCAGCTCAGGCTCGGGCTCCTGTCGTTCCTGTCCCTTCACTCCATTAATTCTTCTTCCTTACAGCAGCACTGAGCTCTTATCTCCCACACTGGCTCAGCACATCCATTTGTGCTCAACCTGCCTCGCGCCTGAGCCCATGTAAAAGCCTCTGCACTCAGGGGCTTGCTGCAAGGTTTTCCATTTCCTTTTCTTATTTACTGTAGAAAATTGCAGATGGAAGGAAAAAAAAAAAAAAAAAAAGAAAAGAAAAAGTAGTTCCTCTTTTGTTCACACAAATGTATCAGAAATCCAGCGTGGCTTCAGGGCAGAGCTGAGCTCCGTTTGGTACAGCAGGAGGGCGGCACCGAGGGAACACGGGCACTGAGCTGGTGTAACACAGCACTGCGGGCACCCAAACGGAGGCACTGAGCTCCGTGTTGCAGCAGTTCCTGTGCCTCGAGGAACAGCTATGGAAGCTCTCTTAGCCGATTTGATGGGGAATGCTGTATGGCTGCTCTCTGCTCCCTCCTCCCAGATTCTCGTTCCTGATCTGTCACAGCACCTGGAGCCCCTTCCAGTCCTGGCTGGGGAGCTCTGCACTCCGGGACTCGGCAGTGGGGTGGATGGGTGCAGCTGCGTGTCCCATTGGGTCATTCTTCTGGTGCAGATCAGCATCCATTAGGAGCTGTACCCAAATGGCTGCCGAGCACATTTGGCACTCTGTTCTGATGGGAACACAGCAGCATCTCCTGGGGTGCAGTAGGAGCACTAAATCCTGTACTGACACTGCACAATTCTCAGTATCTGTGAATTTTCTTCTGTGTAGGAAGGCACTTTCTGCACGGCAACGTGCTGAACAATGCTGAATAATTCAAGTGGCCGCAGGTACTGCAGATACAGGCACATGTGCTTCAGCTCTGTGTGCCCCTGGGCTCCTCCCTGAGCACTCCCCTGCTTTACCTTCAGCCCCAGATGAGTCTTCCTTTGGTCTCACCCCATTGCACACAGCCCCTGCAGTCCCATAGAAGAGCACGAAGACAAACACAGAGGAGTTCTGCGAGGTGCTCCCTGGCTGTGTCCCCACATGCACTGCTGCAGCTGCTCCCGCAGTTCTGCAAAGTGGAACAAGCACCGGATTCATGTGTATAACTCTCACTGGAGCACCACCGGCTCTGCCTGTGCCACGTGCTGCGTGCAGAGTACTGCCATCAGCTGGGTCTCCCATGCTTGGAGCACACGTTCCAGGCATATTGATGGGATTCCATATGACTCAGCCCACTTTGTGCATCTCCTGTGTCTGGAGGCCACAGTCAGAGCCCCGGAGCTGCTGAGGGAGCAGTGTTCCCTAAAGTGCTCTGCCCAAACCCCAGCCAGGCGCTCATGGCACCTCCCTGGGTGCTCACTGGGGACAGCGGTAGTTGAGCACGGCCAGCAGCAGTGCCCATTGAAGTGCAGGAGCAGGAGTGTAATGGAAAGTGAACAGTGTTGTGTGTAATGGCTTTTCACATGAATTCATACCAAATTCTGCAATGAACAATGAATACCTTTGTGGATAGGTAGCAATAAACCATGCGCTCATTTCATAGGGAACAGCAGAGCCTGGTAAGCCTCAATTCCACAGCTCCCTCACTGCAAGGCCAACAAACCAGGTGTTTAATTGCTTTTTTTCCTCTTGGCAGACTCAGAAAGCAGAAGAAGGTGCCGCAATGTCCCCAGCACAGGGCAGCTCCCACAGGCAAACCCAGAACTGTGATGGCACCTGCAGGCCCCAGCTGTGGTCTGTAGCACTTAATTTATGGGAAACCTGGGAAAGCAGAAACCTTTTTGTGCCTTTTCTTCAAAATAATTTTTTTTTGGGGGGGGGGAGGGATGGGGGGGGAGGAAGTATAGCTTTAATTTAATACTGCTATTTATTTTTCTCAAATTGCAGAGGGCTCAGAGGGGTGGTAGGACACAGACATCTAGGCAAAATAATTTAAAATAGTGGGCTTTTTTGTTTGTTTTTAATATAAAAATAATTTCAAATCCACCTCCTGATTTCTCTTGTAACACGTGGGGGGCCAGTGGTGTCTGTATGGAGCTGTGCTGGAGGTGGTTCTGAAATGAAGGGCTGCCTGGGCACAAAGGCTGCAGCTGGAAACAGCAGTTCCTGTCCCCATTCACTCTGCTCTTCTGGGCTCTCACTGGGGCCATGCCTGTGGTTTTCTCTCATGGCCGGCAGCAGCAGCAGCCAGAGATTCCTCCCTGCACCAAACAGTGCAGA